TATAGATTGTTGTTGTTGTTAAAGTGTCATCAAGTTTGTTCTGACTCGTTGTTGTTGTTAATTGTCGTCGAGTTGATTCCTACCCATAGCAACCTTGTTAGGGTTTCCAAGGAGCAGCTGGTGAGCTTAAACCGTCGACTTTGCCATTCAAATGGCTTTGCATTCCGGCGCATTAATCCACAGCCCCAAATCAGGACTTCATTCTGACTCATAGTGACCCTGTATAAGGTTTCAGAGAAGCAGCTCTTGAATTTGAACTACTGACCCTGTGCACAAACCGACCTTTGAGTCACGTACTTATCCTACACTGCCACAATTGGTTGGCGTTGTTGAGTGCCATCGAGTCGATTCCGACCCATAGCGACCCTGTATAGGGTTTCCGAGGAGCAGCTGGTGAGCTTGAACCAATTACCTTGCAGTTACAACTACTTTCCAGTCTGACGCATTAGCCCACAGCGCCACACCAGGACTCTGTCACAGTAGGTATCCCTATAAAAATCATGAACCACAGCATTGATTCCCAAAATGCTGGGAGTGGAGTGGGAGCCGTGACACACAAAGTAGATCTTTGTCTGAAGACATTTGGAGGCTTAACTAACATTTATATTTTTGCCTTCCTTGATTTTTATCTTTTGTGGGATAAAGTTATGTTCCGTGGTTTACCAATGGTTTCGTTTTAACAGTTTCAACGTCAGATATTTTAAATATTAAAGGAAAGGTTTTGTTAAAATTTAACTTATAATTTTCTTGTTGTGAATGCCATCAAGTCAGTTCTGACTCATAGTGACCCTGTATAGGGTTTTCCATGAGCAGTTGGTGTGTTTGAACTGCTGACTTGTGGTTCATAATACAGTGCTAATCTTACAGCTTCACAGGTGACCATAAACTCCTTGCCCTGGTGTGGTGCTGTAGAATAAGTACTGGACTGCTAACTGTGAGGTAAGTTTAAGCCCACCAGCCCTAGGTATAACTGATAATTTGATCAGTTTTAAAAGCCACACAGAAATTTGTCAGAGAAATGAAATCTTGTTTTCCATGTTTGAAATACTTCTGCAATAAACATTGTTTAGGAGGTTATATATATAAATATATATAACTACTGCAGCACTGGTTTTGCAAATTAATATTTGTGCTTTAAAAAAGTTTTATATTTAGTTATTTAAGAAGAGTAAGGAGGCCAATAGGGTTGGTTCATTTTATCTTGTATGGTGCTAATATTTTCTTTTAGAAAAGTCACTGCATCTTAATTGCTAGCTTTCTTTCTTTTTAAAATTATCATCACTGTATACTGATTATAGCCATGTGATTTTGAAGGTTATTTTATGTTTGAGTTGTGATTGCAACTATGTTGTATATGATATTGTGAGATGATTTATAGTTAGAAGCATTCACAAAGTAGCACCAAATAAATTACACTTTATTCTTTAATGTCATTGTCAATTTCCTTTTAACCAAGATTCAATAAATTTTTAATTGCTTTAAAGGCACTGATATTGCACCTATGCACAATTTAAAATTGGCTTTATTGTTTTATAACTACACTTTCCTTTAAGGTAGTTAATCATTATATTTTAAAGATATTTTCCTAATAGTTCTATTTTATATACGTAACTCACAAAACTGTATTATATATTAAAACAAAACTGTATTTTAATATTCAGATCAAGATGACATAACTTCTAAATATTTATAAAATATGAATAAATAGCAGAGTACTCCAAAAACCAAACCCGTTCCTGTTGAGCCGATTGGGACTCACAGTGACTGTACAGGGCACAGTAAAACTACCCCACAAGAGATTCCTAAAGCTGCAATAGTATAGTGCTGCGGGTTAATGCACTGGACTACAATGTTAGTTAGAACCGCAAAGTCAGCAGTTCAAGCTCACCAGCCGCTCCTTGGAAACCCTATACAGCATCACCATGAGTGGGAACCAACTCGACAGCACTTATCAACAACCATCTTGACAGAAGCAGGCTGCCACATCTTTCCTCCACAGAGCACCTAGTGTGTTCAAACCTCCAACCTTTTAATTTAGCAGCAAAGCACCTTACCCATTGTGCCACCAGGGCTTCTTTAAATAGCAGAGTAGGAAGAACGTGTATTTCTATCTGGCATACAGTGCTACGGGTTTACCCATGAGGAATCAGGTGCTGAAAACCAATACACTTTCTGATTTCCTCTGAACATTGCCCTTTGAGGCACTGTGAAGCCTAGCTGACACACTGTGAATTCTAATTTTTCACCTTTTAAAAAGTGAATTTGATTAAATCTTCATGACTTAATTACTTTCAATGAAATGTAAAGACAATTGGGGAATTCTGATTATTATTTTGACATCACTTGATTGGCCAGTAAACAGTTAACCTGTAGTTGATCTCAACTCAAGGCAACCCCATTTGTTTCAGAGGAGAACTACATTCCATAAGGCTTTCAGGCCATAAGGCTTCCTCAAGCCTTTCAGAAGCAGATTGCTTCTGGGTAAATTTGAATCACCTACCTTTCGGTCAGTTGTTGTTGTTAGGTGCCATTGAGTTGGTACTGACTCATAGCAACTCTATGTACAACCAAACGAAATACTGCCCAATATTGGGCCAATCTTACAACTGTTACCATACTTGAGCCCAATGATGCTGCCACTTTGCCAATCCATCTCGCTGGGGGTCTTCCTCTTTTTCTCTGACCGTCCACCTTATCAAACATGATATTCTTCTCCAGACACTAGTCCCTCCTGACAATATGTCTGAAGTATAAGAGACGAAGTTTAGCCATCCTGTCCTCTAAGGAGCACTTTGGCTGCACTTCTTCCAACACAGATCTGTTGGTTCCTTTGGCAGCCCATGGTACTTTCAATATTCTCCTCCAACACCATAACTCAAATGCATCAATTCTTCTACAGTCGTCCTTATTCACTATCCAACTTTTGCATGCATATGAGGTTATTGAAAATACCATGGCTTGGGTCAGGCACACCTTGGTCCTCAAGCTGGACATCTTTGCTCTTCAACACTTGAAAAAGGTCTTGTGCAACAGATTTTCCTAATGCAATACATCGTTTGATTTCTTGACTGCTGCTTCCATGAGTGTTGATAGTTGATCCAAGAAGAATGAAGTCCTTGACAACTTCAATCTTTTCTCCATTGATAATAATGTTGTTTATTGGTCCAGTGGTGAGGATTTTTGCTTTCTTTACATTGAGATGCAATCCATAGGGAAGGTTGTGTGTGGTCTTTGATCTTCATTGGTAAATATTTTAAGTCCTCTTCACTTTCAGCAAGCAAGGTTGTATCATCTGCATATTGCAGGTTGTTAATGGGTCTTCCTCCAATCCTGATGCCATGTTTTTCTTCATAGAACCCAGCTTCTCAGATTGTTTTGCGCAGCATTCAGGTTGAATAAGTATGGTGAAAGAATACAACCCTGTCTCACACCTTTCTTGATATTAAACCATTCAATGTTCCCATGCTCTGTTCAAACAACTGCCTCTAGGTCCAAGTACAGATTCCTCATAAGCACAATTAAGTGTTCCGGAATACTCATACTTCACAATGTTGTCTATAGTTTGTCATGATCCACGCAACCGAAAGCCTTTGCGTAGTAAATAAGGCATAGGTAAACATCTTTCTGGTATTCTCTGATTTCAGCCAAGATCCAGCAGACATCAGCAATGATATTCCTTGTTCCACATGATCTTCTGAATATGGCTTGAACCTCTGGAAGTCAATGTATGCTTGCAGCCATTTATTTCTGTATTACCTTTAGTAAACTTTATTCTCATGGGATATCAAAGATATCGTCTGATGATTTCCCCATTCTGTTGGGTCACCTCTCTTTGGAATGGTAGTCCAGCACTTAACAATTAGCACTACCCAGGGTTACTACACATTTTGGTTGTTGTTGTTAGGTGCCATCAAGCAGGTTCTAACTCGTAGTGACCTTGTGCACAACAGAACAAAACATTTTCCAGTCCTGCGCCATTTCCACTATCATTGTTAATCTTAAGTCCATTGCAGCTGCCACTGTGCTAGTTTATCTCGTTGGGGGTGTTTCTCTTTTTTTGCTGATCCTCTACATGCTTCTCCAGGGACTAATCCCTCCTGATAATATGACCAATAGCTCCTGGCTTTTAAGGAGTATTCTAGCTCTACTTCTTGTCACACAGATTTGTTTGTTTTTCTAGCAGTCCCTAGTGCTTTAGGAGTCCTGGTGTTGTACTATAGGATAAACACTGGACTTCAAAGTCAGTTTGAACTGCAAGGCTGCTCCTCAGAAGCCCTATGTCAGTCAGCTCCAAGTCAGAACTGACTCGGTGACACTTTACAACAGTAACAGTATGGTGGTGATGGTATGGGGTGGAGTCAGTTCCAAATTACAGCAACTTTGTACAGGGTTTCCGAGGTGGTAAATGTTTACAGGAGCAGAAAAGCTCTTTTTTAATTTTTCCTCGGGTGCAACTGCTGGTAGTTTCAAACTGCTGACCTTGAGATTAGCAGCTACCAGAGCTCTTTATTAACAGTGTAGTGCTTTTTATATTCTTCCCCAGCATTGTAAATCCAATGTGTCAAGTCTTCTATGATCGCCTCTTCCTTATCCATTGTCCAACTTTCCCATGCATATGAGATTACTGAAAATATATACCAGGGCTTGGGTCAGGCCCACCTGAGTCCTTAAACTCACATCTTTGCTCTTGAACACTTTGAAGAGGTCTTGTGCAGCAGATTTGCCTAATGCAACTATTTAAATACTACCTTAGACTTGGTATCCTGGTGTGGCACTGTAGGATAAACACTGAACTGCTAACGTGGTGT